ATCTGTATATCAGAGAATGATGGTGCTTTTTACTCTAATGCATTTCAGATTTGGAGTCTTGAAACCAAAATCTGTAGCATCTCAGATCTAGAATAATGTTTGTCTCTTAGGTCTCCACAATGTGGATTCTACACTGCTATATATCTGTTTATTTTGGATTTCTGCTGTTATGCCCTTGTACTGGTTATGCCTATGTTCTTGAATGTCTTCTGGTACCTTGTACTTCATTAATAAAAACTATAATTTTAGAGAGAAATGTTTACGAGAAAAATCTGTCTACATATAGAAAGTTAACTCCTAATGTATGAAAATGATGTGTGATACCTAATGGTTGAAGTTGAAGCGTATGCAAAAAGAGCCTAATAATTATCATGTTTTAGAAATCGAGGCAGGTTAAGTTGTTCTGATCTGTGTTTTGAAGTCTGACTTTGATCGTTTAACTTGGTACGTTTGCGTTAGCCAGTATGGAATTGCTTTCTGGAAACATCCCGTAGTTTCCCTAACATCGTCTACAGGTTAGTTACAAATGCATATGTCTAGTTTGAAAGTGAACTATTTTATTTCCCCTCCTATAAAGGAAAAAAATTTGATTGTTCCTTTCTACTCCCTGTAGCTTTTTTAGCCCTTCTTGGAGATCTTACAAAATTGTCTAATCCTAGTTCTTTGATGTAGTGAAATAACATCAGAGAACAGGAGCCCCTGGAAAGTAAGATGAACTTGTCCTGTCGTGGATAAGAAGTGTAATAACAAAAGAGTGTGCCTTTGAAATTAAGAGTTCTCTGCTAGCACTCTTTATTTATTTGGTTCTCTCTTTTTGCAGAAAGTATGGTTTTTATTGTGTTAGACATCTTGAACCTTTAAGTTTAAATCTTCAGTATGAATATGTCTTCCTTCTTTGGGCAGCTTTTGTTCTGCTGTTTGTCTGCCTTTGGAAAAGGTTGGTGATGCCCCTGCATTGGAGGGAGAGGAGGATCTATCAGCCAAATTATTATTGCATGAGGAAATACTACATGTGAAATTCCAAAAATTGGAAAGTAGTGTAGTTCCTAACATTGAGAAAACACTGTGGGAGGGGAGTAAGACAGCAGACGCTGCTGTTAAGTTGGATGATTTTTGTATTGTTAAACTACTTGGAATAGGAATAACATCCTGTGCAGGAGTGCTGTAGAAGTGGGATAATCAAGAACTTGTACAGCTGCATTTCTCCTGAATAACATCAAGTTCCCACTGGCCAGCTAAGTAGCTGTTCTCCCTGGAAATTTATGCTAATATTTATGATAGAAATAAGTCTTAAGAGGTAGACAGAGCAGGATGGATTCTAGAGAAAGCATCTGCAAAGGGGCAGCACAGAACAAAGCCTTTTTAGTGCGAAAGAGATAAGAGATTGGTCTCACTGACTGCTCCCCATTCATACAGCATTCAATGTGAAGACAAGAGTGGAGAAAAGAGGCCTCTGTGTATGATTTTAAAGGTATGGACAAGGAATTGAAAAAATACTGTGTTGAGGAGGCAGTGGAGAAATGCAGAGGGACATGACAGAACATACTGTATGATGTGGCAAGTCCACACGACAACTTTAGCAGCAGTGATCTGAATAGGCCTAGAGAGCACACGGGAACCTAGCAAATGCTGGGGGTAAAAAGTCTGCAGTAGTGCATGGCACATAAGATACAGGACTAAGGAATGGAAAGATCATCTTTTAGAAAAAGTTTGTTGCTTGAATGCACTGAATGCGAGACTTACAGTTGTGTTCTTTGACTCAGTAATGACTTGTCTCGTGCTCAAGTACCTATTACCATGAGTACTGTCAGCTGTGTTGTCTCTACTGGGCTTGAAATCACTAAGAAAAAGTGTTCAAGCCTGAAAAATATAATAAAACAGCAGAAATGGCACTGATCTGTAAAATAACACCTGAGAGTTAAAACCATGTAGTAAATAACTGTACCTGAACTGATAGTGGAGAACAAATGAAATGCTGAAGTGTTAAGATTTTTAAAGGACCTGAGATGACTTCAAGGTGAGAATGATGCCTGGTTCTGTTGGACAATTTATGCTTCATGTTCACGCTTTCATGGGAAGAAGCTAAGAAAAAGCAAAGAGGTGTATTATGCTTGGGCTGGATCTAGGAAAGATAGAAGATGTAATGTAGAAAAGGCAATTTTAAGAGTTAATTAGTGGGAAGTCAGGCAAAATAGTTAACAGGGTGTTCTACTATTGTAAATGAGAGCCGCTCACACCTGTGAGCGCAAGGACAAAAATTGGGAGCAAAAAGGGTGAAATACTGAAGCTATGATTTTGTTTTAAATGTTTTCAAATATTGCATTCCTATGTATAGTTACTCTGATATGCTTTTCATTAATGCTAAGCACCATGTATAGTGCAGTAAAAAAAAAAATGAAATAAGATCCCATCATGCAGTAAAAAAAAAAAAAAAGAAATAAGATCCCATTGGAGTAAGACATTATACTTTTGAACTGGGAAATCTCTTCCATTTTAAATAGGAAAAAATCTGTGGAACAGTGAATTGTCTGTACCATGTAAATAGATGGTCAACAGTGATATCTGTTCAAAATATGTTATGTACACCCTTTGTAGGAAGGCATTATGCTTTAGGTCAAATTGCTTTAAGTGTATGTAAATACACTTTTGCTTCCTCTAATGCAAATCCCTATTAATGGGAAGATCTCACAAATGCTGAGAATAGATTGCTGCTCTGTCTGCTCCATGAGAGTGACTGTAAAATGCTTACCTTGGAGTTCTAAATTTTGAATACACTTTCCAGGCACCTTTGAACCATCAAATGCTTTGACTTTTTTTGGATGTGTATTGTTGCGGGTGGGTATCACTGCAGTGAGCTTGCTATTAGAAGTAGTCTAAACTTGTAAGCGAAAGCTCTTGGCCTCAAAGCCAAGAGAAAATGATACTAGTGTGCTTATTATCTAGAGTAGCTTGAGATACTATCTAGAGTATGTTTAGTTGAAGAATGAAGAAAACACGTTTTCTTCACACACAAGAAACGGAACAGGCTGTCAGAACCAAAGGGTGGTAAAGGATGCCACCTACGGAAGGCAGAGAGAACTGTCGCTTTTGTGCGAGTCATCGCAGTAGTGGCTTAAGTTACTGAGGGCTCAATCTGATGACGGAAGTTTCCTTCCAGGGGTTTTAAATATTAAACATAATTTTAGAGAAAGAGAATGAGCACAGAATTCATATGCATCTTATAAAGTGGGAGTAAAAGACGGTAAATAAAAATACTGGAAACGTTTATGTGCTGTTAAGCAAAAATAAACCTGAAATGAATGCTTTAAATATGCCAAACTATAAATGCTTGCAGTCGCTGCAGCTTCCTACACGGAGACTTGTGAAAAGAGGCCGAGCACTAACAAAATGGATTCTCACTGCCTTGGCGCTGTGTGGCGGTCCCTGGTCGTCTGCTGCTAGTCATGTCGTTCAGGGCTCCGCAGCGGGCGAAAGGACAGCTGTCCGTCTTGAAGCTTTTATTGTTGGACGGTCATAAATAGCAGGGGTCGGCCTCGACGACCGAGAGCGGCCGCAGGGCTTGTGGCGCCCCTCGGCCCGCTCCGG